ACTAACGAGACATTCTGACTGATTTGCGAGTTGAATGAAGGAGAGGAACTAGGCGCTTCATTTACACCATCAATCTGGACAATATCTTGGTAAGAACGTCTCACCAATGTACAAATAGCGTGAGAGGTCTTGTGGCCTCTCATGCGCTTGTCCTTAATACTCACTGATGCGCGGGTCAATGTAAGCTTGTGTACGGCAGCAGAACCATTTGATCTTTCCGAACGAAGGGCGAGCTGTCAGTGGCTTCCATTATAAAATTGGAGACAGTCTCACTTCGCCGCGTCCAGACCTCACTTCGCCACGGCGCTCGGCTCGAAGCAGACGATTAACTTTTTTTCCGGTCTGTTAGTACCGGGTGTTTTTTTTTTTGTGTTTTTTTTTGTTTTTTTTTTTATTTCCGGCGAATGACGCTTCGTATCACGGAGGTAGGAAACTTCTGGAGGCGGCATGATGCCGCCAGAGATGAAAAAAAAGATTGGTTTGCTCTTTATGTTTATACAGCCTTGATGGAGATGCGCCTCAACGGGTAATCGATCTCTTAGCTGCAGATGAGAAAATTAGCCAGTGGTCATGTCTCTGCTAGACAACGCTTTGAAAAAATCTTGTCGGCACAAAGTACATAAAGCTGTTATAAGACAATTAGAACGCATTAAGGAGGCAGGGTATAAGAGTAGCCTTGTGGAGGGTGTCGCAAGGAAGTGTGTGGTGAGACTCAGAGGAGAAGTGAGGAAAGAAATTGAGAAACCAGAGAGGGTAGTGTGCATTCCTTTTTTCCATAAGTTTTCGCACAACTTGTTGGCGGTTGCTGGGAGATTCAAGATAAAGGTGGTCTTCACTCCCGACTTTAAGTTGAACAGGCTTACGCCGTTCGTGGGAGGGGCGCGAGGTTGTCAGAAACGGCACAGAGAAGCTGCCGTTGATTGCCAGGTTGGTGTAGTGTACGATATTCCAATGGCCTGCGGTTTCACCTACGTGGGGCAGACAAAAAGGTGCTTGAATGAGAGACTGCTTGAACACATGAGGGCAGTTAAGATCGGGTCTTCAAACTCTGAGATTGCTAAACACGTACAGGAGTGCAATAATTGTCTGCCGGTGTGGGGGTCTACTGTTGTTTTAAGCAAAGAAAAAGATTGCGCAAAAAGAGTTTTGAAAGAGACAATTAGAATCACGACTGTTGGAAACTGTATCAGTCAGCCGTCAATCGCATTAGACGAACGACCCGAAAATTTTTGCTGTTGTAAATTTTTTTTTTTTTGTATGTTTTAATGCGGCGTGCTTGTGCGTGATACGAGATGCGAGTTAGGCCTTGCAGCTTGTGTGAAGGTGTGTGCGTTGGGTCTGACCTTCGGGGGTTGCGACAATGAAGGGAGTTCGGAGATTTGAATTGTTATCAGACTAGACGAAGCGACCCAAAAAGTTTTGTGTTATTATCAATTTTTTTTTTTTTTTGCCAGTTAGGTTACGTGGGGTGTGAAGGTGTGGTTCCTTGGGTCCGACTTTAGCGGGTGTGATGATGGTGCTTGTATTGCAATGCTTTGTACAAACTAAGTGAGGTGATAAAAGAGAAAAAGAGAGAGAGATAAAAAAAAAAAGGGTCAAGACGAGATGTACTCTGGCTAAAAGTTGCTGTGACGTGGGAAGTTCCGGAAGACGTGTGGGAGAGATGCTATATAAACGACTGTTCAAATAAAATTTAGTAGCTGCGTTTGAGACGTTTTGTGTGTTGTCCCCTTCTTCGTCCGTCGTCTCCGGTTTTCAAAAATGTGTAACAGTACAACCGCTAACTTGGGGTTTTTAACGTGCATCACGCAGTAGTGATCACACGAACGCGTGCCGGTACGAAACTCATCCAGATCGAAACGGGCGGGGGCGGCGGGGATCGAACCCAGGAGGTTCCCCAGGTTAGGTTTCCCCGGCTGCACCAGAGATGAAGCCGGGGAAAAACTTTTATTTGGTGGGACACGTCCCCAACGATGACTAAAAACGTACAAGAAGACGCTATTGGGGGGAGAGGACCCTCTTTCGGGCGTTCCCACCGACAGCGACCATCTTACGGCTTTAATCGGGATTTTCTTGTTTGGCATGACTTGAGCCGATATGTCGCCTCCCCTTCTTCCTACCTCCCTGCTTCGTACCATGGAGGTCTTCGTAGCAGACGTACCGCGTTCTTCGTTCGCGTTAGTGCACAAAGCGTCCGCAAACGCCATCTTATAACTCGCTCCGCCGGAGGCAAGTCAGATCTCGCTCTGGCGGTAACCAAAATTAAACCCCTCCAGGTAATGTAGACGGATGACGTCGGGATAGCGGTTCAAGCCCGAAGTAGGTTGCACCTGGCTACAGTAGCTGTACATGCATCGGCAGCTGGTGACCTACCTACGCAGTAGGCATGTAAAACGAGTCTGGGCTAGGTGAGGTAACGGAAGCTTGTTTGCCGAACCCCTGTCCAGGATCGTTGCATATATCCTGCTCAAGCTTTTTCCATCCAGCAGTTCGGTTGAATAATGAACGTCGTGAGTACCTTTGCTTGTAACTGTCTAAAACTTAGTATGAAAACTGTTTCAAACAGGCTCGTTGATGAGCTGGAAACAGTTGTCCTTGTGCGGGTGTGACGCGCTATGCCAAAAAGTGGTTCCGGAGGGCATTTACCGGCTGCCATACCGATGGAGCAAAAGCGTTCGGCTCCAGGGTAAATATGTCGATTAGGTATTCATCTCTACCCTGTGTCTTTGTGGTCGGAAGCTGCAGCAGAATAATAAAGTCGAAATCAATATAGTGAGCCATTCGTATTCACGACTCCGTGTGTAATTACGGTGCCCAGAACGCATCTTATAGGTAGGGAGTCCGTGTTTCCTATACACCCGGAAAACTATGAGACCGGCTAGGAGGGGAGGGGGGCCTCCTAGCCAGTTTCATCAAAATTGAAAAAAAAAAAAAAAAACGAAAAAAGAAGAACTGAATTGGAGCTTTTTTGTCACTGAGCAAGACTCGCTTCCCGGTAAAACATCTGCAACTACAACTTTAGTTTTTGTTTACATCAAATACAGTCTCGACGAACTGTCCGCAAAGCAGCTTTTTTCTTCGAAAACCAGACCCCGTATCTTGTTTTCTTCGTTTATTCGTACCTGGACGTTTTCCAAGTATTTTGTGCACAAATGTGTTTAGTGAAGGTTGGGGTATTCCATGCCCGTGTCTTGTTCTCTTCAACAGAGGGCCCTTTAAACACCGGATGTTTGTCCGACATCGATGATAAACGATTTTCTTAAACAAAACTAACCCTAAACCTCCCCCCGAATTTGAAGGAAAATAAAGCCCGAAAATACGGAACTCTGCGTATAAGTAGGATTAAGCACTTTCGGAGTGTTTGCGATTTTCGCAATGTGCGGTATTTGCGATATAATTTTTTTGCGGTATTCGGAGGGTGTTTTTCAGAGTTCTTTTTTCGTTGTAAATTTGGGGTTTAGCGGAAATTATTTTTCGAAGATTCCCAATTCTCAAATTTCCAAGTTTATTTACTTCGTTTTAATTTTTTTTTAAATTAGATAATGTCCGGACAAAGACATTCACTAACAAAAACAGCAGCAACAACAACACCAACGACGACAACGACAACAACGACAGCAGCAACAACAAAACAACAACAGCAACAATAACAGCAACAGTGACAGTAACAAACAACGACAACAAAAAACAACAACAGTATCGAAAGGTAATTCTGCAGCTGCTATTGGAGTTGGCGCCCTTGCGACTCACTGTACTAACTGTCCCATAAAAAAACTTCAGCCGCCCTCCCCATTCTATAAAATCTACAGGTTCACATCTTTCACTGCGATGAAAATACAACCCCTCGCTCCTCTAAAGGCCCATTCACACACTTCTACCCGAGTAGGACCGACTGAGACAAGACCTGTTTTTAAGCCTCTTGCGACGGCTTAGGACCTGTTCCTCAGCAGCGCATCTGGTCCTCAGCCGTCGCAAGAGACTTAAAAACAGGTCTTGTCTCAGTCGGTCCTACTCAGTCGTAAGGGTGTGAACAGGCTTTTAGAAGTACAACAACCGCAACCACAACCACCACAACAAGACAATGGTCCGCACTGGAAACCGGAACAGTGGATTTTGATGTGGTCCAGAAGCAGATTGGTCCATTGTACTGAACGAACCCTGGCGAGATAAACAAAAATAATTTTTTTTCAATAGTCTAAAAAATGTTTTGATTTTTTCATTGCCACTAATGACACGTGTTGACAAACTTTGACAAAAGCTTTATTCGTAGAGCCCTCTCTTTTTTTTTTGTGTGTGCTTTTAATTTGCTGCCATGATCTCGAAATTCGGAGTTTTTCGTATACGTCCGAATTGTAGAGAATTTTACCGGCAAGTGTTTTTCGGAGTTTATCAGATTTTTCGGAAAAAGACGAAACCATAATTATAAACCCCATTAATACGGCCTTTTGCAATCGGCGAGTCAAAACGTTCTCCTTGGTTGCGAGCACCTGTCACGCGCGGAGATTCGCGAACTGATTCGTTGCCGACCGTCAACGTCTTGGAGCAAAAGGTACCTTTATGATCGTGTGAATTGGGTATATGACTTGTGTGTTTACCGTCCTATCCCGCTCATACATCTAAAGGGGTTCCTAAGTGGCAACAAAACACGTCACAAGAGATGTCGTGTCATTCTGTCGGATGCCGCGATCCTGGCGGTTGGCCGAAGAAATGCACCCGAAAACGGCGAGCAGACGCGAGGGTCGCTGCCGTCGCGACGTGCCAGTTCGTGTCTGTTTTGGTTTCCGTCGACTGTCTGGCCGCAGAGCGACCTGTAACAGGATAGGCGGTGGCCGCACACACCTCTGCTGCTGTGCCACCGCCAGGATCGCGACAAGCAAGCGCATGGAACCTCAGTGACATCATCGGGCGTAAATGAACATGGTATACACACCAGTCAGAGACGCGCTCCAGGGGCTATAGTGCAACTGACTATGTTTATATTCTGTTTTATACTGGTCTAGAATCTCTCCAACATTCCACCGAAAGCTGGTCACACCGACGAGAACGCTGTACAGTATGCCGCTGATAACAGCCTTCGCCTTCATCCTGCGCAGGCGGAGCTGATCGACGTAAGACTGCTTTTAGCGCTCACTCAGTTTCTTTGTTACTGATATATCCAGGACATAAAAGGAAGATCCATTGGTGGATCCTTAGGGAATGCGTTAGCATGACCTTTGGGAAACGCCACACAAGTCTCCCTTTGGGAAACGCTAACGCTGACCTCTTCGCTTTTCTGTCTTGCCTTTCTATTTTGCTTCCTCAAGTTTTTGCTGACTCTTCTATGCCTTTGTACCGGGATCAGTGTTAGCGTTTCCCAACAGTCATGCTAACGCCGGATCCACGATGGATCTTCCGTTATATTTTTGCTCTAATTATTTTAATTCATCCACAGAACGAGCACTCGCTCTAAAAATGTACGTCTCAAAGCCAGGAGCGCGGGCTAGCTCGCACTTGTAGCTTTGACTGTAGTCTCTCTCAGTTTAAGAGTGAACAGAGTATTGGCGACGTGAGCGATCGAAAGCGTCGCTGTGGTCGGCCCACCACAATTGGCCGAATGCTGACTATGACATCAGCAAAGGATGTCTCATCGTTGGAAATAAGAGGAATGTTAAGTGCTTCAATTTTGACAGTGTTGGCAGTGCTGCTTTGAGAGCGCTGTGATTTCAGGCTTCCCCCATGTTCATTACAAACACCATCGAACTTGCTGTTCACAAGGTAAGGACGTCACGAAAGGTAACCGAACGAGGGCGCCACCGAAACATTTCGCCGCTAATAGGTGCTGCTTCCTCTCTTCTGTCTCTTTCGCCCGCCTTGCACGGTTAGCAGTGGCATCACTGCCACTGCTAACCGTGCAACCGCAATTTTCTGAAGCAGTTTTCTTGGCTCTATTTCTTTTTTAATTATGTAGCTAAAGCTTCGGGAGTAATACGAATGCGTGTTTCGCGTGCTTGTGTTTTGCAGTTGACCAAAAGTCTGCCCTGGGGTGGCATGATGGGAGACAGATGCGAGCTCCAGTTTTTTCAGCTTCTACTTAGGGCAATAAATGCGAAGAAATATCTCGAAATCGGTAAGTAAGAATATTTTAATCGTGTCAGCCTTAGTACCGCGGTGTGCAGGAATTGAGGCTTCGGAGACAGCAAAGTTTATGCTTTAAACGCTGGGGCAATTTGCAATTCTTTCGAGTTCGTGAGTTTTTTTTTTCCCCCGCTTTATTTATTTGTATGAAAGCTAGACTCCCGGAAAGTTTCTCGAAGTTGGGTTCCTGCAGGTACTTACACTGGGTGCAGCGCAATGGCTGCTGCGTTGGCGCTGCCCCCTGACGGCAAAGTGGTTACTCTGGAACTTCACGAGTGCCACGTGGATATCGGTCGGCCTTTCTGGGAGAAGGCACGTTACACCCCTTAACTCACATTCGTCTCAACCCATATTTTTTGTAGAATAAATCACGCGTAAATTTTAGAATATAGCAGAGAAAGGATGAAAGTCCCACCAACCTCTGACGCTTTCTTGTTTTGCTCAAGGCGGACGTGGATCAAAAGATTGAGACTAGGATCGGGCCAGCCAAAGAGACGCTGGGTAAGCAAGAACACCCCTTCCATTTCCCCGGGCCCAACGCAAATGATACCATAATTCCAACGTAAAAAAAAAGCAGGCGCCTTTTTTATTGCAAATTAAGATTATTTTTACGTATAATGCTCGAGTTTTTTTTTTTAATTATTTTATTAGTGATGCCATTGCTCGTTGCAACGCGCTAATAAAGTGAGAAGCCTTGTCATGATGTCATATGCCATCGTGAAGTCACATGACTGTGTGACTTAACGGTGTCACGTGACCTAATGATAGTTTATCACGGCGTCATGTGACGTCAATGTGTCAGATTACCTTAGGGTGTCACGCGATGACGTGGCGTCACGTGGAATCATGGTGTCGCATGACCTCATGATATCACGTGATATGTCAGTGCTCTTCATGACAATTCTTCATGACACTTCTTCATGACGGTTCTCTTAAAGATTTCGGCTGATAAAACATTTTCTGTGCTCATAATAATTTCTTTCCGAGAGTAAGTCACCCTGGATTGCCCGGTAGGCGGTGCGTATCTGTGCACGATGGTTAGAACCCGTACGCAAGCGCGTCTGTCAGCCTCGATGAAGCCCCTTGCTCCCCTCATTGCTAATATATCACGACCGTCTTCCATATTAAAAGAATTTCCACCTTACAGCCGGTACGTCATGAACACAGGTGGCTGCGATTGGCTTCAAGTTCATACATCACTGATTTCTTTACCTGCCGCAAAGCAAGGAGTCGTAGCGAGCAACCTAATTTCTTCCCAAAACCAATTTCAGATGCATTAATAGCGGAAGGCCAAGCCGGAACATTCGATTTTGTTTTCATCGACGCGGACAAGGATAATTGCGACGTCTACTACGAGAAGAGTTTGCAGCTGGTCAGAAGGAACGGCATCATTGCTATTGACAATGTGAGTTCGATTGCTTTACTGTATACGGAGAGGGACTGATGGACAGGAGGAGGCGTCGTCAGAGCGCCGACTATAAAAACTATTATGCATTGGAATGAACGAAACCGATTAATCGATTACTTAGTCGATTAAAGGGTGTGGATCATTCGGGTAAACATTTTAATCGACGCCCGGCCCTAGAATTAACAGATAAGAACGTAAAACAGCGATTCATGAAGCTACCGACACTGACAGCTTTCGAAATATAATGTTGGTAAAAGTTCATCTAAAAAAGTACTTGAAGTCAAGTACAAGGCTAATGAGAGGTTATGTACTTCAAGTAGAGTAGTAAGTAACCGAAGCGCAATCTACTTAAAGTAAACTACTATAAATATAGGGTGGTTCAAGTCACTAGGCTCGATGTAAAGTGGACCGTAAAAATCGACGCCTGCATGAATCAACCTAAACTTTTCGTGAAAAGTGTATGAGCAGGTAGGTTTTTTTTTTGAAAATTATAAAGCGTAGCTCCATTTCTGTAAAGAAATAGGGACAAAAAAATTGCCAGAGTCAACGGCGGCGATGCGATGCAGACAAGTGAGTCGAGCGGCGGGGCGAGGGTGCACGTATTGATAAATGGCACTACCTTTTTATCGAGACTGCTCACAACGACCGTGATTCACTATAATGAAGGTAATCTATTTGTAGTGTACTTTTAGTTAGAAATAAATTCGGACAATAAAAGTAAAGCTTAAAGATAAAAAAAGAAAAGAAAGGAAAAAACGCGGTTGCATAACGACGGCGTTCTTGCTGCCGACGGATTTTGTCTGCGTGTCATGTGCTTTCTTTCGCTGGTCGGCTACGCCTCTCGACGCTGCTCCCGACGCCATCCTATCAGACGCATAATCTAAAAATACAACGTTTTCAACTTTTCTCGGTTGCACACCAAAAGTTAGACCACTCATTCTTTTTACAATTTTTTTTTCTTAACTGTAAGTGAGCAATCTTTTCCAGAAATGACGCCGAATTCAAAAGTACCCTTTGCACCCAAGACTATGGCGTCAACCCCCTAGCTTCCACGAGCAGACCTCTCGTGGAGGTGTGTTTTGTCCTAATATTTTTAACCTCATTTCTTGCGCTGACCGTGCGAGACATTGCGAGAGTTCGGAAGGCGGCGGAAAAGCCGCCCCCAGCATAAACGGAACGATGTTGTCTGCTCGCATTTCTGGTTAGAGTAGAACTTATCTCTCCCAGTATTTCTCCAGAGTTGACAAAACATCATTTTGTGACACAAATTTAGCAAGACCATATTTTGGGAATGTACTTGAAGGTCGGGAATTGTTCTTTGCTCGGAAAGTACCAGAACAAATACTCTAAGTAAAGTCCAAGTACGTGCCCCGAGAATGTTCTTCAAGTGCAAGTTTTCTAAACCTACTTGAGGCACTACTCCTTCCCAACAGTGGAGAAACCTAGTGCTTGGTGTATTATGATCACAATTGGGGCTATGCGGTGTGTTCTACCGTTTTTTTATTGGTTGATGCCTCAATATTATTGCCTTCGTATTGGTACAACAGTATGTTCTCGACGTACAGTGTGTAGAATTTCGTTTCGACGTGGAACTACGTCTTTCTTCGCGCTTGGAAGGGGGCGCGAAGTTGGGAGATCGATGTCACGAAAACTTGGTCACGGAAGTGACGTCACACACGTAACACCGGAGCGCCGACCGATTTTCATCTCCGCGCTCCCTGACGGCACGCCGTGCCTGCTGCCCAGGACCGCGCAGTGCGCACGCGTGTCCCTTTAAGCTTTCCTTTGCTTCCCGTAGACCCGCGTGGGCTCTGCGCCTTTTTTTTCTATATTTTATTTCGTGTGTTTTTCTTTTAAATTGCTACAAAGTAATTTACCAACCAGTCCAAGTGGAAAAATACCTTTTTTTTTTCCCCTTGAACTCGGCTGATCCCCAAATTGCGGTATCGCCTCACGGTGCGTCCGTTCGGCTTTATTAAAGGGATACTACAACGAAATTTGAGCGCTCATTTTTTGGTCTATATGTGTTCAAAGGAGCAGTATCACATCGAACACACCAACATCTTGTTAAAAAAGTCACGAAAGAGAATTTTAAAACGAATTAAACGATTAGCAAAGAGCACCGTCGCTAACGCCTCGTTTGTAATGCCCGTCTAGGAAACTTGAAAGGTAGTGACGTTTACTGTCTCGCCTCCGGCCACGACGACAGAAGAGGGGAAGGAGGAACTTCCCTCTACTCGAGAATCCCTTCTGTGTGTCCCAAAAGTCGCTATTGTCCCCCTACAAGATTATAGAAGATTGAACCGTCACTCGAAATTCGTACAAAAGCAGCTGGTTCGGTGGCTGGAACTAAGGCCCGGCTGGAACGACTAGGCCATCCTCTCAACGTCAGCCTCGCCGTAGCTTTGCTCGTCCCGAGATGAACTACGTCACGATTGCGTTGGATGTCACATGCTCTCCGCTGGTTGTTCTCCGTGCGCTTGCCAGAGTGGGCCGTTTATAACGAAAAATACAGCCACCAGGCTCAAAATGCAAACGTGCGATTGTCATTCACGGATATTGTGGATCATATTCAACCTATTTTTGAACACGACGGGTATAATTCAAATTTCGTTGAAGTATCCCTTTAAAATCCTGTGCACACGTAGTTCGCGAAAACTTTGACCGTCAGGTAGTTCGCCTGAAACAGTCAGCTTTCCATCCTTTTCTTTTGGGAGGAGTGGCAGAATCCCCGCTAAAGAAGCTGAAAAACCCCGAGAAGGCACCTTGAAAACGGCTAAAAAAGTTCCAAGTGCTGCCCTACGTGCACACGGCCTCACATAACTTGACACGTATAGGAGCGAATTTCAACATTGATGTCGTTTTCATAGCCTCCTGGAAAGTATAACAAAATGTGCGTGATGTTGAGCGGAAACAAAACACCCCCCCCCCCCCCCCCAAAAAAAAAATAAAAATAAAAAAAAAGTAAAGAGAAATGCGACGAGAAGCACGCCAAGCACTCCGTGCCCTGCGCCACTGAAGCTGTGTACAGGCTTTTTCTGAGCCGTAGAAGTGTATATAGGCCAGACCGGTCGTTATGTGAACAACAAACTGCGAGAGCACGCGGCTTCGCTCTCAACGGCTATGGGTATCACTTGCCAATACACTGCAGGGAATGGGGTTGTTCCCCCTCGTTGGGCAACACTCAGCTGGCAGCCTCGCAGCAGAGGAACTTTGGGGCGGGAGATGTTGGAAGCAACCCTTATACTTGCCTGCGAACAAGATCGCTCTAACAGTGTCGCGCCCATATACATTTGACGAGCAGGGAACCGCAATTCATTAACAGTGATTAATCATATTTTTGTTCTCGTTTCGTCATCCACCTGATTAGGCTCATCGCGTGTGACGCAGCTGGTTTGCTCGAGCCAGCGTTCGGATTTATATAGTGGCGATTTTAAGATATGTGATTAGACGACCGCGTTCACGTGAGAGACACTGCGCTCGTGTGGAATTTCCAATAAACATTCAGTTGTTGGGCAGCGTCCTTCCTGTGTGCTCCTACTCTCGTCCCGTCCTTCTGCACTGTTCTTAATAATGTCGTGCTACATAACTGCTCGTGCATCCCACAAACGACATTGTGTTCACTGTGGACATGGCGGCAGGATTATCTGCTGGCAGTCGTATGGCCAACGTGGCAGACTGTCATACAAGGAAGAGCCATGGCTCAGACAGTGTGCGTAGACTGTCTTTTGTATGGTATATTAGCAGCGTGGTGACTGTAGAAGCTTGGACGTATTAAGCCCCTTCCTGCGTGTGCTTAACTGTCCATGACTGTACTGCGCATAAAGAGTTGAATTATTCGTTATTTTCTTCGTTTAAGGTCTTTTGGATGGGGTACGTCTACGGTACCATCGACGATCCTTACTTCGAGAAAGGAACGGTGGCGCTGCGAGCACTCAATCGAAAACTGCACCGAGATGATCGCATTCATCTGTGCATGCTCACCTTGGCCGATGGTGTGACGTTGGCACTTAAGAAATAGAACTCTCGTGTCAATAAAGTATACTCTACTCTCCGGTCGATGAGACATCGGGTTTCTGCGTTACTTATACTCCTGTCCCAGGCGAATATTGTTGTCATTCCGATTAAGAACGATGTCATCAATGTTCGACAATGCCACGCGCAATTTTTAACGCGTTAGCATTAGAACGCTCGTTTAGACGAAACCCCGGTGGTGTATTTCGTTTGTAAGCGCTGGGGAGAGAGGGAGAAAGAGGGAGAGAGGGAAACGCGTGTGGTGCTCCCATTGGTCCGAAGAGCTGACGTCAGCACCGCGTCAATCTCTTCCCCTCTCCCTGGCGCTGACAAACTGACAGACACCGCCGCGGGTTTTCGTCAGAACGAGCCTTTCGTTTTCGTCTGCCACGCGCACAGCTCGCGTGGAGCCAGAGAAGAGGAGACGCTGCGCAACACCTCCTATAGAGCCTTACTGCTGAATGAGATGGCGTCATCAGAGAAGGGCAACGCTTGGCTTTGAATCAAGTTTCAGCCGAACGTTGACGCAACCGTCGTCTCCAATCTGTGCCCAGCGTTGGCCTTACCTAATGGCGCCGTCTCATTGAGCACTACACGCTTCGCCACGGCCCGGTGCAATGCGGGCGTGCTCAGTTGCAGCTCCGCATTCGCCGCTTGTTCTTCGCTCTGGTTTTCCGTAGTATACTGTGTGTGGGCTGTGATGTATGTGAGTAGCTAAAACGATGGACGGCGGTTCCCTCCACGAGTGATATGAATGCGGTTCCTTCCATCAGGGGAATGGATGTGGTTCTTTCCACGAGTGATATGGACGACCGTATCCAAGGGCGTCGACATATTCTGATAGGCAAAGCACAGAAAGGGGCCGAAGGAAATTACAGGAAGATTCATTCGTGGATTCTTAGGAAATGCGTTACCATGACCTTTGGGAACGCGACACACGTCCTCCTTTGGGAAATGCTGACATTGACCCTGTAACAAGGCCATAAAGAGGGAGCAAGAAATAGAGGAAGCAAAAAAGAAAGCCGAAAGAAAAAAAAAGTGAATAGGCCAGCGCTAGCGTTTCCCAGAGGGAGACGTGTGTGGCGTTCCCAAGAGTCATGCTAAAGCATTCCAAGCGCCCCCTCCCTTCCCTACCCACACACACATGCGCATGCACACGCACACGCACACACGCGCGCGCACACACACACACAGTTTCTTGATGGGGTTTTAAAAAGGGATGAGCTAAGAAGAAACAGAGATGACACTTTTCGTGTTTTAAGCTAAGGATGCGTTTCGAAATTTTGTAATATAATGTCTATAGCGTAATAATATAATAAAAATGAGTTAGTGGCTGCCGAAACAACACTGATACCCGTTACGCTACGACATCACCATAGTAGAGCTATTGTTTCCCGTGCTTTCGCCGTCGCTCTCTCTGCTGACGATTAGTGCTTCTTTTCCCGTTTCCTATTTTCCTGTTATGCTCCAGCCAGAGCCCTAGCTCCTGCAGGTGTTGCCCACCTCTGGCATAGATTTTAAATATATTTTTCTGGCAAATAATTTTGGCCGATTTACAAAGAACTGCAAGTTGAAGATGTAGGTTGATGCCATGCAGATGGAAGTCTCGGCTCGTGCTTCAAAAAACTCACGGGTGTTATCTTTTTTTTTTTTTTCGTGATACTATTTTGCCTATTTCTCGCAAAGAAGTAGAAGACATACACACCAGAGTTGTTTGGATTTGAAGTATAAAACAGAAGAAAAGGCGGCAATCGCATGTTGATCTCTGTACATCAACCGAACACGTGCAGACTGTGTACTCCTCAATTGCCTCAGAAACACATTAAACGCCAGCACGCGGCTTTGTTAGATTGTACTCGCTATCTCTTTTTTTTTAATTTTCTTGTGGGACTTTGTCCATATCAAATTATTTATTTCTAAAATGGGCAGCCAGTGTACGCTTTGCAAGAACTGGAAACAAATCCAATGCGCTGGCTTGAAAAAAAAAAAAAAAAACACTTCAGCGGGTTTATGTAACAACGCCTTGCGAAAAAGTTCTTACTGCCCTAAAAAAATGGAAGTTACACATTCACTTTTTTCTGTGACGTATGCATCAGCTTGTACGCAAACATCCAATAATTCGTAGACTGAGCGATATTGGCAACTTCTGCGAAATCAACGGCACCTGGCGGCCAATATAGAAAACCTTTCACGGCAAGTTCAGCCTCCGAATTTTTTTTATTATTTTTTTATTTTTTATGTGGTGACGTTTGGCGGTTGTGCTGACTCTGCTCAGGGCGATCGAAAGGGTGGGGACAATTGGGAAGTCTGCGACGGTTCAAAAAAGTTCGTTTAATTATATATTATTTTATCTTTATTTTTTTTTATCAGCTCTAAATCGTTGCAGAACTAGCCCACCTAGCTTCTATTCCCCTAACCAAACGCGGTTCTATATTTCCCGGTGTCTGATTGACACGGCCAACACGCCGAGACGGTGCGGGCCACCGCTTCTCTTCAGCGACGTCTTTTTCATTTTTAGTATAGGTTGTTCCGGTAATTCCGATAACCACACACCCAATAACGACTCGATGCATGCCCAAAGAAAAAGCCCGCGGAGTATCGCGTGTCGTTATCGGAGCTACTGGAACGATCTACTAAAGCTCCCAATTAAAGGAACACGCATTGACTCAATTGATTGACGGAATCGCTAGAAATCTGGTAATGAAAGTATACTTTACAAGTCAAGTTGCTTCATTCTTTTCGTGAAATTTGTACAAAATTCGATGTTAACAAATTTCGCCATCATTGGAAAGCACGCGACTGGGGCAAACATCCTGCTATCTCACTGCGCGGATGTTAATACTCCAAATTAAACGCACCGGTGCCTAATTATAAACTACACGCAACGCGTTACAAAAAATAGTTTATACCGCCGAGCTTAGTTCCCCAAGAGAGGACTCTCAGCCACCGCCGCCGCGCTGCTCGTACGCACCAGACAAAAAACACGGTGTTTGCGGCTGACATCATGAAAAAATTATCTGAGGACGCCCCTCAAACAGGTTCGACGACAGGTTTCCTTCATACAGATGTACGCTTCTAACAAGTCCGTCAGAGAGCTTTTGTATGACCAACGTTACAGGGCCATCATAAACGCTTATGGCCAGAACATCCATTGGGTCAGAACATGCATCGAGTCAAAACATCCAACAGGTCACGTGGCACTAGAGTCAGAACATCCAACGAGTCAAGACAACCATCCGAGTCGGAACATCCACCGAGGCAAAACATCCACGAATGGATGTTTTGACTCGATGGATGTTCTGACGCGTTCGATGATCTGACTCGGAATCCACCATAAAGAGAGACACATTCCTCAGGCAGGGTCTACAGGGGCAGTCTTTTGTATTTGCCGTATGACCGTGGCTTTACTTAAGAAATCGCAAAAAGAAAAAAAAATATTCCGGGATTATGATAAAAGAATGAAAAATTCAAAATTGGTTTGTTTTCGTTTTGGAAATCTGAGTGGCCAAAAGAAAACACCATTTAAGACACTGATAGATCAAAAAGAAAACATTTCGAAAGCAGCGGAACATCGCGTGTCCCGTATGAATAATTTATTTCACTCGTATAAAGCATAAAAATAGACACAAGATACGAGTGTCTTGTACAAAAAAGGCGGCAAAACTAATACCGCCGTTGTTTTAAAAAGAGCGCGACATTATGTACAGTGCATCGTTAAAAAGGGCTATACAAAATAATAGTTTGTTTGTTTTTTATTTCTCGAACAATCGACTAGCCCAGCTAGTCTCTGGATCGCGCTTAAAAATCCACATACATGTACAAAACTATCACTCAGTTCGTGCAACACACAACTGCACCGAATAAATAATCAATCATCCCAAGTATCATAATTGAAATCGTACAATAGTCTATTTACATGAAAGACACTTTCATGACGTCATTAGCGTAGCTGCTACAAGAAAAAAAAATACGGATCTCGCCTTTTATGCAAGCTATCACAATTGGCGAGAGATTAATTTTGCCTAGAAATCACAGGGCACTAAAACCGCTGAAAACATCTAATAAAAAATTGTCCACAATTGCTTGACCAGCAAGCAATATTTGAGAAGTTCCCTGTGCTTGGTCTACTCGGATATGAAAACAAGAATGTCTCACGTGATTGGCCACACATGCCGTATAAAAAGCGGTAGAGTCTAATGATAGTTTATAAATATTTTTGTCATTTCATACGATATATAGATAAAACAACTTCTCGGAAAACAATGAAAAAAAATTTAAGCAAGCAACCCACTTATGTCTTAGGAAACAAAAGGGCAGCCATGACAACACCGTACATTAAAATGTATTTCCCCCCCCCCCCCCCAAAAAAAAAAAAAAAAAACGCTTGGATCGTTTGGTTAAGAATAACCTGAGAAACACAAAACAAATCTACTATAGGGACAATCAAGGCCCGTCTAAATGATATTTTTCTGGGTAATACCGGCATCGTTAACTACATTCTAGCAGATGTGGACATATGAAGAACATTTCGAAGCGTCTGTACATTGTGACTTGGTTTCTGCAAAAATGCAGTGGTCAGTGTCTATTTTTTTTTTTTTCACATAATCGACTTGATGTGGTCGGGATTGTAGTCGAAACCCAGGTTCGTGATCCCCGAAGGGGCGTTGTAGAGCACCATTTCGTCTGGGTCCCCAGGTCCCCATCGGTTCTCAGGCGTGAACGCTTTTCGAGGGTTCTAGAATCGGGGAACAACAAAAGTGACTCGTTAGAAACTCTGGCGAAAAAAAATCCACCTATGGGGTGGAAAGCCTCAAAAATTAATGTGCACATCCCATGTATCGTTTACAAGTAGCAAGATTTTTTTCTTTTTTAACAGGAGCATTAGACATAACGGTTTGCGTCTGACGTCATCGCATCATGGTGGTGGTTGGAGCCACTAAATGAGCTACGCGTAGAGTATCGGCACTCCGTTCCCAGATCTGTTAGTGTGCGCCGCCATCTTGGTGC